GTAAATGTCTCCTTTAAATAAATATATATTTGTGAAGCAAAAAAAGATATATAAACAGAAAAAAAAAAAAACCGAGAATAAATCACATAATAAACCCTTATATAATGCTAAACCATACGATAAACAACCAGCTGTGTTTAATACAAACATTATATATACTACGGGAATAAAGTCCGCTCTGAATACACACACAAACCCTAAACCCTAAACCCTAAACCCTAAACCCTAAACAATAAACAATAAACAATAAACAATAATGTTTAGTAAGACCCTAAACCCTAAACCCTAAACAATAGACAATAAACAATAAACAATAAACAATAAACAATAAACCCTAGACCGTAAACCCTAAACCCTAAACAATAAACAATAAACAATAAACAACAAACAATAAACCCTAAACCCTAAACCCTAAGCAATAAACAATAAACAATAAACAATAGACCCTAAACCCTAAACCCTAAGCCATAAGCAATAAACAATAAACAATAAACTATAAACAATAAACAATAAACACGAATGTTTAGGAAGAACCTAAACCCTAAACCCTAAACCCTAAACCCTAAACCCTAATGTTTAGACCCTACACCCTACACACTAAACCCTAAACCCTAAACCCTTATGTTAAGACCCTAAACCCTCGGACTTAAACCCTAAACCCTAAACCCTAAACCCTAAACCCTAAAGGCTCAAGTTTAAACGCTAAACCCTAAACCCTGAAACTTAAACCCTACAACTTAGATACTGAAGTGTAAACCCTAAACCCTAAACCCTAAACCCTAAACCCTAAACCCTAAACCCTAAACCCTAAACCCTAAGTCCTATACCGCCGGAGCTCAGTGGTGTATTTCAAGACGAGGGGATTAGAATGAATTTAGTGTTTAGTGTTTAGGGTTTAGGGTTTAGTGTTGAGAAGTTAGGGTTTAGTGTTGAGGGTTTAGGGTTTAGGGTTTAGGGTTTAGGGTTTAGGGTTTAGCTCACAGTCTGCCCAGTATAAGACAGAGCATACTATAGAGAAGAACTATCGCTGAGGGTTTAGGGTTTAGGGTTTAGGGTTTAGGGTTTAGGGTTTAGCTTACAGTCTACCGAGTATAAGACAGGGTATAGTAGACAACGGCA